TTTTATCATTTTTATGTATATTCATCTCTTTTTATATTATCTTTTTATAATAGCTTATCTTTTTTATCTTTAGTTTCTTTCTTTTCCTTTTGGTGGTGATATCATGTATCGATTCATGTTAGCCGACTCCAATATCTTTTTGGACTAAGACTTGGATGTTGTTGCTGTATCTGTTTTTTTTTCTTCTAATTGGCTTGACTGTTATGTTTATCTTGCTTCTGTTTGGGGACCTCTTCTTTCTCTTTTGCATTGTGGGTAATTGGGGGATGTGTTGTTTCCTTCTTGCAATTGGAATGCCTTATTTTAAGCCAATCAAGGCAATACTCAGGCATATCATCATAGGTAACTGGCTGAGCAAAGCCAAAATCATCATTGTGTAACCAAACTTTATGAGGCAACTCTTTTAGTAAGATCAACTTCAACACAGACCCTCGCAACTGAAGGTCTGGTGAGATTCTGTAGCCGCATCATACTTTAGGGCTTTACCAATTAAGTTGATAGCGAATCACACGCGAAGTCCATTGTATGGGATTAATAAATCAAGTGCATTGATCAGGATCAATTAACTAATACAGCCAACAGGGCCTAACAAGAGACCGCGACCCGTGAAGGGAATCCACATCCAGGCTGGCCTGATCGGCAGGTCTCAAGTCTGGGTAGAATTCTAGCAAGGTCGGGCTTACATGACGAGCCATTTATCGTGCATGACTATCTGGCAGCGGCAGAAATTTAACGAAAGAGACATAGACATAAAGGAGTAATAAGTGTGGAATGATGAAATACGTTAGAAGAGTCCTATCATGGTTAGACGGCTTAGACCTATTTAATATACCGGTTATGTCTCCTTAGGCTACTGTAGCTCTATGTCTATGAATACTTCATGTACTTATCATGACAGGGATCCGCTTTTTCGATTAATAATAATGTCTTACGCTGTCAAAATATTTTACTCTCGTAGATTAGCTCTTGCAGTTGGAATTAAATTTCATCAATTAATAACGTGATTTGCTATTTGTGAAATATATTCGAGAATTTCATGCATACGCCACCGAGTCTCGTCCCCCCAAGATGAATTTCGGGAAATTTACCAGCATATGACCAAAACATGGGGAGATTCCCAATACATGACTTGTGACACCGCACCCGAACGTCCTTGAAAATTCAATTTAAATTCAAATATATGTATCGAATTTCCGACTCCAAACAATTGTAAAACGATTAATGTCCTACGTAGTGCATGGTTGAATATCGTACTATTCAAACTCGTACATTAGTGTCGGGTTTTGCAAATACTTATTCGGGACTTATTAATAAATAAAAAAAAGAGCCCAACATTATCCAAATTGTGATACATGACCTTTCAAGACAGTCCGAGTAAGGTCGGACGGCCCAAACGTTATTTTGAGTCCAACCTGCTAAAAATAGCAAGTATTCGAGAATGGCGTTCTAGACCCACTCGGGAGTGACCCACATGGCTAGTAGCCCATTAATATGTATGACAAATGTCAAATAAGTGATAGAATGATTAAAGAAGAATACAAATGCCTATAACCCCATCTTTGGCATTATTGAGCTAAATAATGGGAGTAGGATTTTCCTTCTATAATATCCATCAAGTAAATTATTGGGATGATCATACACATAATGGAGATCAATAATATGATGTAGAGAGTTGACTTGTTCTAAATAAATTAGAATGAGTACAAAGAGACATCTTATGACAAAGAGATCAAAAGTGAGACCCACCCATGTCTAAAAACATCTCATGGAGACCATACCAATTCATTTCACTCCACACAACTTATCCACCCTTATTGAAGGGTCTTGGACACTCCCTTAAGCCCCTCATTCGAACTCCCAAGGATAAGGGAGAAGGAGAGAGCCACACAACCAAGAAAGCAAGAGAAAGGGGAAGCTGCCGCAGGTTCGTTTTCCAGTGCGTAAGGTTACTTGTTTGCTTCATATCTCGAGTTATACACATCCAAATAAGGCGTGCGAGATACCCACAGAAAGCTCTCAAGACGAGGAATCCGTGAAGGTCTGGTTTGCATCAATCGGAGTAGTGGAAGGCTTCCAAATCGTCCGAGCAAAACACAACCTCGCGGAATACGTTTTTGTATTCAAGGTAAGTTTGAATCCAAAACTTTCCTCTCTATTGTCTAAACCATATAAATGATTGAAGAACTATTATACACTGATTGAAGTGTATAAAATGTTATTATAAAGTGACTTTAATTGTTGGAAAAGTTAGATACTAATCTAGACAAAACCTTGAAAGGTTAGGGAACGATTTCGTCGGGAACACCCGTTCTAGGGACTGTTTTTGTGTCCTCGGTTAGGAGTTGAACTAGCACTTTGGAGAGGCTGTTTAACACTCAATTCCAAGCAAGGAATCAGTTCTCAATCTTCCTTGGCCAAAGCTTTGACCATGGGATCAAGAAAGAAAGGTTTGAAGCTCAATTAAGGTGAGGATGACCGACTATATTGCTTATAATTATTGGGTTAATTTCATAAGATTACCTAAATGAATTATATGTGTTTGGCATGATTTATTTATAATATAACAAAATGCCTAAATGAGATTATTATTGTTTATAAGTAAAAGTGCATAATATACAAATTTATGAATAAATTGTGTATGATTATGTATTATGAATACAATGGTATAATAGCGTGCAAACTATAAATGAATTGTGATAAATATACTTTTACCTCATGTAAGGAAGTCATGAAAGGATAAAAGTGATATTTTGATATTAGAACCAAGTTATACTTGAATGTGGAATTAAATTGAAATAGCCAAATTACTATGAAATTGCATTGGCTTATTAAGGTTAAGTGACTAGTATAGAAATACTAGCCGGGGATGTTAGCATGAAAAGTGATAGAACAAATCCTAGGGGTTTGGATTGTGAATGATGTACCTTAAGTAGTCATATGAAATGTCTTAAGGTAGAAATGAGTAAACGCTAAGTTACCGTAGGAGTGGATCATGAAGGTTACTCATAGTAGAGGAACTCTAGGCATAGAGATTGCTTAGTGAATTAGTATCGTGACTAGAGGAAGCCTCGAGCACGATGAAGAATGACTGGAGGAAGCCTCCAGCATTCGTGTAGGACGACTAGAGGAAGCCTCTAGCGTAACGTAATGTGACTGGAGGAAGCCTCCAGCACAAAGTATGAAAGGTGATTAGAGGAAGCCTCTAACACCGAATGTAGTGACTAGAGTCAGCCTCTAGCACGACAAAACATGACTAGAGGAAGCCTCTAGCATAATGTAATGTGACTGGAGGAAGCCTCCAGCACAAAGTATGAAAGGTGATTAGAGGAAGCCTCTAACACCGAATGTAGTGACTAGAGTCAGCCTCTAGCACGACAAAACATGACTAGAGGAAGCCTCTAGCATGGTAAACTGATATAGATGGGTGTGGCTTGAAGTCACGGGGGAGGGGTTAAATGTTTTCAAAGTAAACATGAGCCTTCGGCCGACTACTTGACTTTATATATAAAGTAAGTATATTTGTAAAGAGGGTAACCACGAGTTATGACCTATATTGTAATATCACCCTATTTGAGGGTCTTGGAAATTGAAACGTTGATTATACTTAGTATAGTTGTCATTGTACTTGTCAAATGCTTCCAAGTACTGACCTCCCCTTCACGGGGGAGGCCACCTCACAGTTTCAGGTAGGACTTGAAGGTTGCTACCACGCCCGTTGCTTCGGGAAGATCAAAGGAGGAGGACGTGGTTCGTGCTTCTTCCGTTTCTGTTTTAAACAATTACAATAATGCTCATGGAAATTATTTTGAATACTATTTGGGGGCTTGTATGCCCATGTTTGCCACGTGTGGCTTGAATACGTGTATTAATGTTTCCGCTGCTTTAAATGAATATTTTACATTATGTTTGTTTATGGATGTACTATGTGTGAATGGTATTCAAGACGCCTAGTATAGTATGTATGAGTTGGACTGCGGTTGACTATTCGTACTGTACGGCGGGTTGTTGACGTGTCCGGTAGGTCCGGGGCGTGACATGACTAGTCATGTGAAAGTGATAAAACTATGAGGTGGTATGGGGAATGGAAAAAACAAAAGATACCATCTATTATTATGCATGGCATGTTGCACATCAAACAATTAAGTGAAAAAAATTATTGAGATAGTATTTGAAATATATTTATCTATCATTGAAAAAAAATCAATTAAAAAAACTTTCAAAATATTTGTAGAAGTCGTTTTCAAATTTAAAAAATGATCAATTTTGTCATTCATTAAAAACTTAAATAAGCTATATGTCCTATAACATTAATACTTTTCAAATTTAAATGTTAAGGAAAAAATAATTATGGAAATAACACAAATAGACGTGCGAGCATAATTAAAAAAACATACTCATTCTGTTCCACTTAAAGGTTGGAACGCGATTTACGATATTTGATTGACCATAAAGTTAATTTATTTTTGTCAATAATAAGATTATATTTAGTAAATAAAATTTCTACGTTCAGACATTACATTAACAATTTTATAAAGTCACAAAAAAATCTATTTGGATAAAATTGAATATATAAAGTAAAAGATTAAAAACAATTTACGTTGATTGGAGTATAGTAGGCGGAAACTTTCAAGTGGAACAAAGGTATAGTAGTATGAAAAGTCTACTGTCATAAGATGAAGTTAAAATACTGTGAGAAAAAAAATAGCTCTGAATTAAAGATGGATGAACCGAAAATAATTTAAATGAAAACAAAAAATTATTTAATTGAGGGTATTTTCAGAAGAAAATTAAGATTTCGTTGGGAATATCAGATAACCTAAGACATGAATGATTTTAGCATTCCCCTCCGTATTACTGCCACATTAGATTCAGGGGAATGTAACTTTCTTCATTTTCCCCAACTCCGCGAACCAAATATGAGCATCTAACATTCATTGCATCTCATTTCAGCCTCACATGAGATATTGAAATTACCTCAAAGTTCCAAACCAAGCAGACCCTAATTACCTAAACCCTAGATTTTATCACTAGGTAAATAAATATTACCCTTCAATTAATTAATTATTAATATACAATTAAAAAAACTTCAATATAGTGGTAGAATAAACTTCATTGCTCAAAGACTGAAGTCAATCGAGAAATACATTGTATTGAAATAATACATTTACGAGAACATAAGCCTAAAACATAACACTTCTTCAAATGCTACCATCATTATTTTATCCTGACAAACAAAACCAATCTCACTCAAAAGAAACTTCGTATTCCTTTTTTAGAACTGAATAAAAAAATTGTAGGATAAAATAAGAATTTTTTTACGTACATGACTAATGGTTCATACTTATTGACACCACTTTCTTTACTTCAAGGATAAAAGAATGAAATAAATGCCTATACTTAGATTTCAGGCATGCTTGAACTTGCTGTTTACCTTGCAAGTATGAAATAAATTGCTCAGCAGCATATATATAAAATATCCTACAAAATCCTCCGTATTATTATTGTTTTAATATGTACTCCGTAATTACAAAGAACTGCTTATTGCATTAATATCACACAGGCTTCTGTAACTCTGAATGATTTTAAGTATCACTCCAATAATCATCTTCGCCATCACTCCCTACAGCCTGGATAGTGGATATATAACAGTTAAGGATTGAAAGAACACAAGAAAACTGAAGGAGAAGTTAGGAGATATGAAGCACGGAAACTCTCCGCGGATCACGTTTCCTCGTTTCTGAAACTCGGAAGCTTGTCAGAAACTTAGAAACTTCATATTGTCGTTTCGGGGCTGTTTGCACAATTAAGAAGAATTGAGAAACTTGTTTCCTTAATAATTAGCCTTTCAGAAACATAGTTACGTTTGTTAACTTTTTTTTTATGAAAAATAGGAGATTCTATGATGGAAAATAGTGTTTTCAAGAAAATAGTGAATTTTATGGTATTTCTAATTTCTTCCTAGTAACATTGTTACGTTTCGCATTGCAATGCATTGCTAGAATTGTATTGCATTTTATGTACTAATATGTCATGATTTCTAAACTTGAACATCTAGACCATTTTTATTATTTGGTTTTTAAACAAGGTATATGAAAAAATATGTATACACATATCCTTATATTTTTTAATATTTACGTGTTTCCCTCACATTTCATATCCTATATTGTTTAGAAATTACATTCGCGCATTTCTCGTGTCACGTTTTGTGTTTCCGTGCTTCTTAGGTCATTAGGGGCAAATGGAAATCAGAAGTGGGAGCTATGTGGCTATGTTTGGTACACCAAACCGAGTGGTTAGCTGAAATACTTCAAAAAACTAATAGCTAGTTTTATTAGCTGATAATTTAGGATCAATTATATAAAATTAAAAAAATTATCGACTACTGTTATAATCAATTGTCATTATAATTCAGTCTTGTTAGTGTATATTTGCTGAAAAATTATTTGCAAATTATTATTTCCCTTCTGGTGCAATTGAAAACTAGCTTTTAAAGATAAAAGAGCCTTAAAATAGCTAAGATAAAAAAACAAGCAACCATGTTTGTAAAAGTGGAGCTAGTATTGCACAATAAATAGCTATGGCTATATTTGAGTAACCTTTGGCAATGAAAGAAAGTTAATAATGTGTAAAAAGTGATATTTAATGCACTCTGGAGTTACAAGAATGCCATTCAAGCCTGAAAAACATGGCAATATTCTAGCCATTTAGCATCACTCTATTTTTGTACCTGGTCTCGGAGAATTTTGTCCAAGTATGACTTTTCATGGAGATTAAGAAATGGAAAGTGTATGGTTGAGATTTATTTAGATGAGAGAGAAAAGCACAAATTTCTTTTTTTAAAACAAAATGAAAAAAGTTACTCGAACAGACGAAAAAATAGTTCAAAAGCTTTGAGGGGTGAAGGAGTTATGAAATACTATGTACCCCAACTCTTACATTGAACCAGACATTTTTTAGAACATTATTTCTTCCAACTTTTACAGTCAGCCAAACAGAAGCATATTTATCAACACTGATTTTCTTCCTCCCCCACCATTCCCTTCCTTTGACCTTTAATTTTCTTTCATTAGTCACCCATCATGCTGGTAAAGAGAAAGAATTTACTACCTGACGAATTGCATTTGCTTTCTCCAGAATTGCATTCACACCTGGTGGAAGTCCAGTTGGATGGGTTGGTTTTGCTGTAAATGTCGATCTAAGACTGAGTGACTGAGACCATGCCATACAATTCGAAGAAAAAAGATTAGTCATTCTTTGAATCACATTGAAATCTGTACCCATACATTGTTACGAAACTATCAAGAATTAAAGATTCAGTGTTCAACATGTATAAAAGAACCAGTATGTAAAGAATAAGATTGAGACAAAGGGATCTAATATTTTTTTTGAAAGGACAAAGGGATCTGATATAGAAATCATAAATTCATAATTATCAATCATCATTAGAATAGATCAGACGTGACAAGAAAAAAATATCTACGTAGTGTTACCTATTTATTAAGGGTGAGCAGGGAACGGGACGGGACGGCTATTTTAAAGAACATGTCCCGCTCCAAAGTAGGGTTTTTTTTTACATAAAAGAACCGGTACCATCATGAATATATAGCACATGTCCCGTTCCATACCAACTTTTGGTAAGGATCTTCGGTATCATTCGGTTCCTAAATAATCAACGGTCACGAGGTACCAAAAACTTTAAATTTTAGCATTTATAAGTAATTGTACAAAAATGGAAGAGAAGGGAATGCAGAATAAATAATTTCTAAAATTTTCAGTAGTCATAGTCTAGGTTATTCGCTATAATTCCTATCAAAAAGTTCAATAACAATATACTTCGTATTATATAATATATTTTAATATAGTATACGTAGTATAATATTACCGGTTTTTTGGGATGGTCCAATTCAATACGATTCTGGGACGGTTCTTACTTAAGTACCAGTATTGTACCATATTATTAGAAAATTTTGGTACGGTACGGTATTATATACTACCTATGTCCCGAAAAGGTTTTACATATCAACTTTTCTTGACACAAGCCAATCTTGTCACTCTGTCACCATTAGCTCATCATATTAATCCTACTTGTGCTTCTCGAGCTTTACAGATACCTGAACGGAGGGAGGGAGGCTATGTCGATGGAATTTGATGTCTTGGTTCAACAAGGGACTTGGGAGCTTGTAATCGCTCATCCTGATCAGAATGTTGTCGGATGCAAATGGGTCTATACGGTGAAATACAAGCCAAATGATTCTTTAGATTCAAAGCCCGGTTGGTGGCTAAAGGGTCTCATCAATGCTCGGGTATTGATTATTCTGACACATTTAATCCAGTAATTAAACCGGTTACTATTCAGGTTGTCCTGACCATTGCACTTTCTCACGGTTGGCCAATCAATCAACGGGATGTCAATAATGCCTTTCTACACGGGGATCTTCAAGAGGAAGTTTACATTAAACAACCTCCTAGCTTCAATGATGATTCCAGAAAAGTATGACGTCTTCGCAAATCAATCTATGGTCTCAAACAAGCACCTCAAGTGTGGTATCAATCTCTTAGTGAATTTCTTCTATCTCTTGGGTTTTCTCAATCAGTTTGTGATGTCATGCTAGTCTCTTTGTCTTTCTATTCTCATCCATCTTATATACTCCCTCTGTCCCGAAAAGCTTGGCCAAAGTTGACTTTCACGTGGATTAATAAAGTAAAAAATGTGTGGTTGAAATTTGTGTAGAGGAGAGTGAATTAACTTTAGCCACATATTACTTACATTAAATGGAAATGACAAATCTTTTTGGGACATTCAAAAAAGGAAATTTGGCCAACCTTTTCGGGACGGAGGGAGTATATGTGTTGGTATATGTGGATGATATTATTGTTTCTCACTCTACACCTAGTTTGGTTCAACGGACTATTGACTCGTTAGCACATAAATTCTCTATTAAGGACTTAGGATCCCTACACTACTTCTTGGGCACACAATTCACTCCAACACCAAATGAGCTCTTTCTTGATCAACACAAGTATATCCACAGATTTATTACAAGTGTTGAACATGCATGAAGCTAATCCAGTATCCACGCCCTTGGCTTCCTTGGGATCTTTGACCCTTTTTGACAGATCCGGCTCTTGTGATGTAACCCTCTCTCTCGATCATTGGGTCTCTTCAACATTTAAGTCTCACAAGACCTGATAACGCTTTTTCCATCAACAAACTGGCTCAATTTATGCATAAACCAACGGTTCATCATCGGCAGCTCGTAAAAACGCCTCCTGTGATATCTTCACGGCACTGCCTCTCACGACCTATACCTCCATCGTAGTTCTCCCCTTTCACTGTGTGCTTATGTTGATGCTAACTGGGCAGGGAATCCAAATCCGCTCCTCGACTAGCGCTTATGCAATTTTTCTAGGAAAAACACTCATTTCTTGGAAGTCATCTAAGGACAATTGCCAAATCTTCCACAGAGGCAGAATACAGGGCTCTATCCAATGCTGTGTTTGAACTTCTCTGGATTGAATCACTTCTTCATGAGCTACGACATTGGTCTCTCATACCTCCGCTTCTACTTTGTGATAACAAAGGAGCTACCACATCTTCGGCAAACCCTATCTTTCACTACCAGATGAAACATGTTGCCATTAATTTTCATTTTATTAGGCAACGGGTGCAGCGTGGACTTCTTCATGTACTTCGTATTCCCTCTCATGATCAGCTGGCTGATGTTCTCACCAAGCCACTTCCACGACAACGGTTTATTCTTCTTCGGAACAAGCTCAGTATTCTTGGGAGTGATAAAATACCTGGCTTGAGGGGCGTATAAAAGGATCCATAAAATAATAAGTTGTCAGTTACACATAATCATTAGGATCTTTAGTTATGTCTGTTTCAAATCATTTTATTTATTGTAATTACTAGCTTACCTAATTGACTACCTAAGTCATTGTATAAATATCAGATTGTACTAGAGAATGAAGTGTGCTTTTCAGCCTGAATATTCCCCTCTTCTCTATACTTCAATAATTAGTATCATATATTTGAAATATTCTCCTACCAATATTAACTACTAATAACAAGTGAATTAGTATTTTTTTAATGAATTAGTATTTTTTTATTATAGTCATAAACTTATAATCTACATTAATGGCGTGACATATATTCAGATTTACTTCCACAACAACAACATCCAAGCCTTAGTCCCAAAAGATATTGGGGTCGGCTAACATGAATCGATACATGATATCACCACCAAAAGGAAAAGAAAGAAAATAAAGATAAAAAAGATAACCTTTGCTCTGATCTGGTGCAGAAAGTCTCCCTTCTCGCCCATTTCCTTACGAGTTGCAGTCTGATTGGCTACTTTCCGCTCATCTATCTGTTGCATGTCCAACCTCTGCATATGTTAAACACCGGAGACGAATAATTTTTACCTAATACAGCAATGCACTACAATAAGACCTCTATATAAGAAAATTCTTGGGACCTAAGTAATAATTTTCTAATTGAAAGGTTGTAACTGAATAGGGAGGTATTAGATATTACACCCAAAAGTATAAACTACAACAATAACAACCACTCCTAATAGTTTCATTGGTTGATATATTATAATAGGTCGTCAACATATTTTCATCTATAATTCAATATTTTCATCTAAAAACAAAATATTGTCTATTAAACTATAATTTGTATATTTTTAACTATAAATATATAAGTGTAGAAGTCTTTTATAGGTAAACACGCAAACCACAACATAAAAGTCTTTATGTATATTTAGTGCTATATAGAGCTGAGTATGTAAACTTATATGTACACATATCACTATATGTAAACGTGTCTATACATAACACACATATATAGGGGGAAGATCAGGTACAGACAGTGTTTATTGTGCAAATATTGTACAATGCATCTTTATGCTATTTGTATTGCATATTAATGTTCGAAGTGTTGCATATTACTATGCAATGAAATAAGCAGTTGCATATAATGTTCAAAGTGCTGCATCCGAAAAAAGATTGGTTTTATTACCTGATAGGGACATGGACCGCCAATATGAATAATAATAGTAGTATTATACTCAGGAGTGTGTTATTGTATAAATAAGGGTTTGGGCTAGGTACTAGTTGGCTTGGGCCAGCCCAAAAGGGAATTTACTATAAATAGAAGTGGGAGTAGAGTAATAAAGGTAGGCAGAAATTGGGATTGGACTGGGACTGGGAGTCGGAAACGACTTGGGAAATCTGTTTCTTCTCTCTCGCTTCTGTATACGATATTTTCAGTTCATACGCCATTCATCTTATTCATCTTGTTTCGTGAATTTACTGTGAAATTGCCAGTTCCTAACATTGGTATCAGAGCTGACGATCGGGATACCTGTTTATGGTTGCTACGAGAAGAAAGATGAATGAACGATTGGAAAACTTGGAGCGAGAATTGGCGCGACAATCTGCAGAGATTGAGCGCGAGTTGGCAAGGCACCGCGAAGAGGCCAGAATATGGAGTGAGGAGGCTCGCGAGGAAGCCAGGATGAGGAGCGAGGAAGCCAAACGTGACCTCGAGGACATTCGTGAGCTGTTGAGAAGAAAACATCGCCACCATTCCCGCGGACGATCAACGAACTCCAAAACGAGTGCCAGGCAGGGGAGCAGTGACTCTCGATCAGTCTCAGGTAGTCATCGATCTACTTCTTCTAGGCCTATCGATAATCATCGTAGTTGGATGGAGAAGTCTGGAAGGAAAGTTGACTTGCCCCTTTTCAATGGAACTGATGCGTATGGATGGACTATTAAGGTGGAACGTTTTTTTAAATTGAACCAAATTGATGATGAGGAGAAAGTTGATCTAGTAACTCTGGCCATGGAGGGAAGGGCTTTAAACTGGTATCATTGGTGGGAGGAACATTCGAATGTGAGAACTTGGGATCTGTTTAAGGGGGCCTTGTTGCAGAGATTTGAACCAGGATTGGATCAGGATCCATATGGTCCATTATTAAATCTTAAGCAAACTGGAAGTGTTATGGAGTATAGAGATGAATTTGAATTGGTGTCAGCACCATTAAAAAATACTGATGTGCAAATGCTCAAGGGGATTTTTATGAAGGGATTGAAGCCAGAGGTTAAGGCTGAATTGAAGAAGAATCCTGTAAGAACTTTGACAGAGGTCATGAATAAGGCCTTGAGGATAGAAGAGAGTAATAGTATCCTCAGTTCCAGCAGGTACAGGGAAGATGATAGAAGGGGAACAAAGGGGACTGCTACAGCCCAACCTCAAAGATGGTTGAATGAGAATCAGTGGAAGAATAGCCTTACCAATCAGTCTGGATCTGAGAAATCTAACTGGGAGAAAAGCAATGAGATAGGAAATAAAGGTGCAGGGATAAGGGGAACACAGAGGTTGACACAGTCTGAGCTGCAGGAGTTGAGTAGAAAAGGTCTTTGCTTCAAATGTGGGGAGAAATGGGGAAAAGACCATATCTGCCAGATGAAACACTTCCAAATTATCATGTTAGATGACTCGGAGGAGGAGGAAGAGCAAAGGGACAACTATCCAGAACCTGTATCTATGATGGAGGACAATGATATCTCAAAAATGCAACTGTCATTACTGATTAAAGAAGGATTGACTACTCCCAGGACTTTCAAGTTGAGAGGAGAAATTCAGGGCCAAAGGGGAAGCAAGGAAATAGTCATATTAATTGATTGTGGGGCTACCCACAATTTCATATCTCCTAAGATAGTTCAAGCAGCAAACCTACCTACCTTACAGATCCCAGAATTTGAGGTTAAGATAGGAAATGGAGACATAATCAGAAACAATGGGAAATGTGAAGCTGTGTGTCTTAACATACAACAATCTACCATCACTCAAGACTTTTATGTCTTAGAATTGGGGGAAAATGAGATGGTTTTGGGTCTGGAATGGTTAGCAAGCTTGGGAAATGTTGAATTTAATTTCAACCAGCTCACCATTACATGGAAGGAAAAGGGAGTAGTCAGGAAGCTTCAAGGAGATGCCTATAGCAGCAGACACCAAGTTCCTTTCAATTCTATCACTGAAAAGATTCAAGCAAGTGGAGAAGGATTCTGCCTATTCAATTCTGCAAGGATTGAATCTAAGATGGAAAAGGAAACAGCCAACCCAGGGATGAAGGAAAGGCTCACTGAAATTGCTGATAATAAGTGCACTATTGAACACCAGTGGAACCCAATCCCGGTAGGCATGGACTTCATGAATAAAGCTGTGGTAAGGGTGAATAGGTTGACTGAGCAAACAATTGAGAATTATAAGGAAGAACTTGGTAAGCAGGTTGCTGTTGCTCTCTATGAGACAGCATGTTGTGCCCTGGTTTCCATAGATGGTGAAGGGATCATGTTTGTTGCTGGGAATATTAGAGACAAATGCTTACTGAAAAGTTTCAAGTATGATTGGATTCATGGTCTTGATCAAGCTGAGGTCAATTCTTTTGAAAAGATGTGGGAACAAGAGCAAAGACATCATCAGGAGTTACAGACATGGGGAGAATTTTACAACACCAGGGTGCAATATGCCACCCTGCCTTTATTTTTGCTCTTTCTGACTGAGAAGAACTGGAAAATGAAGAGTCAAGTACCAAAGCTGAAGGTACAGAATTCAGCAATGTACTGGGAAGGAAGGGGTGCTAGGATGAAGATGAAGTGGAAGATCAAGGCTGTCTCTTATCACCCACCTTGAGGACAAGGTGGTTGTTCAAGGGGGGAGATATGATAGGGACATGGACCGCCAATATGAATAATAATAGTAGTATTATACTCAGGAGTGTGTTATTGTATAAATAAGGGTTTGGGCTAGGTACTAGTTGGCTTGGGCCAGCCCAAAAGGGAATTTACTATAAATAGAAGTGGGAGTAGAGTAATAAAGGTAGGCAGAAATTGGGATTGGACTGGGACTGGGAGTCGGAAACGACTTGGGAAATCTGTTTCTTCTCTCTCGCTTCTGTATACGATATTTTCAGTTCATACGCCATTCATCTTATTCATCTTGTTTCGTGAATTTACTGTGAAATTGCCAGTTCCTAACATTACCAAAATGCCACTGTGCCTCTATAACCTTTAGATCATCTCATTGGATGGCCAGGATGAATTTGTAATTTGTAAATTAGGAGATGTTTGTATTTGATCCCTTATGTGCGTGTGTATGATATTTATGTTAGAGGTTTTACTACATTCTGGGTGTGGTAATGTTATGAAATCAAAGAAAATGGATTTAAAACAACCTTGCTTTTCAATTGAAATACAGGCTCACTAACTAGATCTTGATTCAGTAGGGCAGGCTTGGGTTGATGCAAGCAGGTATCCATCCAATTTTCCTCACCAAGTGCATAATTATGACCATTAAGTAAATCATCTTTGCTGCCATCTGTCACATCTGACATTGATTTCATAAGCTGACTATTATGAGGTTGCTGTAGAGCAGGTCTAAGTGTATCCAGAACAGGGAGATCATAGAAACAACCAGACGTGGATTGTTCAAAGCTGTGTTCAGAAAAAAATAATAGACCCTTCACACTATCATGCTGTAATTCCTCCCCCTCGGTCGTTAGCTTATTATCAAATGATGTTGAAGAAGACTCCACCAGTGATATTCTTTGTAGAGCATCATATATTTCATGGTCCTTTATACCAGAAGATTCACCTGACTCCCATTGCTCATCAGAGTTAGATTCAGACTGATGACTGAGACAATCATCCGACATACACACAGATGATCTGCAAAATGTTTCATCATCTGAATCTGAACTGATGTCATGAAATGATACAGCAGCCTCAGGTACCAGATGGAATGAAGGAAACATATCACCCCTATCAGGAAATCTGAGTTTCAGCTTATGAGTCTCAAATCCATCTATAGGCTGGAAAGATATTTTAATATGACCAAGTGGAGGTGACCAAGAGGGTGACATAACTGGTGACCCACTTCTAGAAATATTCGTTCTCTTCTCGGCGAAGGTTTTAGCAGTACTGATATCTTCACTTTGATTCTTCTGCACAGATCTGTTAGCTGAACCAAGTGATGATAAGTTATTGTGACATCCATTTACAAGCAGCCTGTTTCCAAGGGAAAGGATCCTAGATGAATTATTAACATTCTCTTGACCCATTACACTGTTTATGTAGTTTTGTTGACATAAGGAGTTCGATTTCTCCATTTTGGTATCCAAACCAACTGATGCGAATCTTGAGGATGTGTTGCTTAAAGAGACGCCATCAATGTTGTGATTACTACTACTACACCTTACAGACTGCTGATTTTCTTCTATATATTTGGAGCCATTCTCTGTCACACATGATGTTCTTCTGGCATTCATTTCATCCGTAGGATAAATACTTTGTTTTGCAGAGCAAGATGCATCATCTTGAATGGCCATAGGTACTCCAGTCACATCTTTTAATACACTATCTGGAGGCTTTGAGGGCTCAAGTCCGAGCAAGCCACCATTTGTCCAGAACTTGACTGATGAAAGATTATCTTCTGAGCCATTGATCCCAGAAACACAATCTGAGGATGGCAAATTGGTAATTGGTTCTACATCTGATGTATCCCGGGCATCACTACTCTCATTTAGATTAACCTTTCTATTGGGAATTTCACCAGCTTCAGAAATCAAATTAGGTGAGAGATTGTCAACAGATCTAGGTATGACTTTGGACACGATATCCTCTGCTACTTTGGCATTCAAATAAGAGTCTGAATCTACATGTTTCTTTGTTTGACAATCTAAATCTCTTCCTAACTCAGAATCAATAGAGTTAAAGGCATCCACAACATCATCTGCTTCACAGTCAAGTTCATCAAACAGGGTGTCACCATGTTTGGATATTTGCATCCTTTTGTTTTCCAGAGGCAAATATATATGCTCAACAGTACCAAGAGTTACAACAGCTGTTGTCTGAGCAACTGCGCTTACATTGGCAGAATATGATTCTAAATTTCCGTCAACATTACATAGCTGTTCTGGAATATGCAATGAGCTCATCTTTCCATCCAAAGTATTGCAAGGTGGATCGGAACAATTTTGTTTTTGAAAGAAATCACTTTCGATACTTTTGGTGTCCTGATTCTTATGTGATGGAGAATACAAGGACTCTATGGGCGATAGCCCTGAAGGTCCTGCAATATTATTCTGAGTAGCAGAGTATGAAATGAAAGCATCAAGTTCTTCTGAAAAGTCATTTCTAACATCAGCACACATATCATCAGTTTTTTCATCAGGAATAAGAGAATTAAGGGAACCGTTGGAATCTGTCTGCAATGGATCAGGGAATGACAATCTAGACGCATTCAATTCAGGTTGCCCCTTTCCATTCCCGATCACAGCAGTGTGTTCTTCTGAATAGCCAATATCAATATCACCACTTTTTTCATCAACATGAACAGGATCATGGGAACCATTAGAGTACGGACAGGAGTCTGTCTGTAATGCTACAGGGAACAACAATCTAGACTTATCCTCTTCAGGTTGCCTCTTTCCATTCCAAGTCACACCTCTGTGTTCCACTGAAAAGCCATTACTCATATCACCATATATATCACCACCTTTTTCATTTGAATGAACATGATCAAAAGTACCATTAGAGTATGCATAAGAATATGTCTGTAATGGAACAGGGAATGACAATCTAGAATCATCCTCTTGAGGTTGTCTGTTTCCATTCCAAGTCACACCATTGTGTTCCTCTGAATAGTTATTACAAATATGGCCACTTCTTTTATCAGCATTAACATTATCAAGGGAACAATTAGAGTTTGCATGCAATGAAGTAGAGAATGACGGTCTAGAACTATCCTCTTCAAGCCGTCTCAGCTCTTTCATTTTGTCATGACATGGTATATGGTTGGTTTGCTCTTCTGACAAGCTAATACCAACACAAATATCACCTCTTTTCTCATCACAAAAGCTGCAATCTAACAAATCCTCATGGCGAATCTTCAATGGAAATGATATCTCTTGAGTTTTGGCTTCTAAAAATGCAGAATCCTTTGACAATCCAGACTTATCTTCTTCAAGTTGCCTCTTTCCATTCCAAGTCACACCATTGCATTCCTCTGAACATACATTGCTTATATCACCATATACATGACCACATTTTTCATCAAGATGAACAGAATCAAGGGAACAATTGGAGTTCATCTGTGATAAAGTTGAGGATGAGTGGCTACAATTATTATCCCCTTCAGACCGCCTAAGCTCCTTCTTTGTGTACAGAGATGATATATGACCTGCTTTCTCTTCTGACAAACTAATACCAAAACAACCATCGCCTTTTTTCTCATCAGAAAAGTAGCAACCTTTGGAATTGTCATTGTGACTCTTTATTGAAGATGGTATCTCCTTAGCTTTGTCAACATCTGGGTACATCAAGAAGCTCCGACAAGAAGCACCTTCTACACAGGCATATACATAATTAGAATTAAAAGAATGTGACATCTCTGAAAAGTCCTATTTAAACACGGCTTCACCTTGAGTTGATATTTTATGGAAAGGGGATGTTTGTCCATCAATCTCTCGCGACTCCATTCTAAAGATTCAAGGAAATACAAACATTTCAATCTCTTTGTTACAAAAACACACCTCCCCCACCCAAAATTAAAACACTCACAGTAACAACAACATCAAACGAGGTATAACTGAAAGTTGAAACTTCCTAAAAGATTTGTTTTCAAAGAGTAGAAATGATGGATACCATATACCTGCTACTATTCAATAATGACACCCCATGTGACCCCTCTCTATTTTTCTGCAGCAACCTTTTTTTCTGGTCAACAACATACAAGTGTACCGTGTGTCAAAAGTGTATAGGCATTGAACTAGAAAATTAGGTATGTTATTTACATATTCAGTACAAGATTAGAAATCTAGTGTTTTATTGTATAGTCCATATAGTATACTTCATATTTAGTGAAGCAAGGGGATGTGATTGAACATTTGAACAAATATAATGAGGTACTTCCTTACTGAAAATTTAATTGGATTTATCGGTTCATTCTGCAATTTTAAAGATTTATATTTTAGATGCATAATTAAATCATTCATATCCCATTATTGCGCCTCTAAAGGGACACCCAATAGAACTATATAATATTAGTAAATCAAATATATTTCTGGCACATGCTACATTAACATGTTATTTGGGGAGATATGAAGACATACCTTAAACTTGCGTCCTTTCTTATCTTTTAAGATTTTCCCAATATATGCTTCACCAGACCCAGCTGAAGCTCGCTTAAAGAAAGTTGGATCAGAATACCTTTTTAAGCAAGACCCAGAACCACCAGGGTCAAATCTGAATGAAAAATATATATAAAAAGAAGCACTGAGTAACCATTGAGCACAACAAGAAGGAAGCTCAAATCTTATATAATCTTATGATGCCCATACTTGTCTAAAAAGTGCAGCCGTGGGGGTCCACGACACTTTTCATAGGAATCCATGAGGAACCTGGGCAAATCACTGTATATGAAATGGTTTTCTTCGCAATGACTATGAGTATGCCACTTGGAACCTGCAAAACAACTTCATTGCATAAGGGTTTTGAAATAAATAAAAAAACAGATAAAATATTTAAGTTGTGTCAACCTTTAGGGTCAAAAGTGTAACAGATTAAGCGAACAAGATTTCAGAATTTCAAGAATGTGAAGACTGGAAGTTTATAAAGCATGAGGACTTACAGCATTGAAATCAACTATTTCCACATTGTTCAATATGGTTGGGTTGGGTTAGTGTGGGGTGGGTCACACTAGTCAGCATAGGAGTGAGCTTGCAAGGAAAATGGGGACAAATTTGGCAATGATTTCACAAAATACTAGTGCATAAATCAGTTTCAAGAGTAATACCCCCCCCCCCCCCCAAAAGTCCTGTTAGCTGTTACAAAGTACAAACACTTTTTTGTCACAAAAAAGAGTCATGTTTGAAACAGAACTAAGTTTTCATTTAATTTGCCAAACTGAGAGTGACAAACAAGTCATATATGATAATTTAAGTTAAATACACAGATAAATTTTAAAAATACTGGACAATGATTTATGGCAGTTGTACATTACCAAAATTAAAAAGTTGTACCTTGGTCAAACAGGAATCGTTTTTTGGGACGGAGGTAGTAAGTCAGTCATTAAGTCCTATAGAGTTTGCAAGCAATAGTAGGGGCAGTAACTTTGTTTGTACACAATGATAGGTGAAATCTGTAAGAAACAAATTATTGGGGATAATCTTATTTACACATAGTGATAGGTGAACACTTAACAAAAACATAAAAAGGGTATATTGGTTTAGTTAAAGTGCCATAAAATGTGAGTCTTTTGTTCATTGAACAGTCTTGAGAATAAAATGTGGGGGAATCTTACCAGTTGTATAAGCAAAATGCAAATGGCTTTGCTGTGCTAGTATTAATTTCTCAAATGAGGGAAGTGCAGTTTCAATACTCTGCACGCGGGCTATCAATTTACGGCTTCTAGAGGAAGTGATCATTACTTGCTCCTGCAAACCATGAAAGACCTCTGCTGCAAATCTAGAAGTTGACAAGGCATATGAAATCCACTTTTAGGATCAGTAATGAAGACTCTTGACTGATGTAATCTCAGAAATGTAATGATATATACTATTATAGTATTATCTAAATTGACAGTAAATGCCATTCCAAAAATTGCCCTAACCTGACACAAAACATCTCAAGAGGAAATTGCAGGAAATGAAACTTGTAAGAAAGTTATTCACTAGGGTTCTAGAGCAAATCCCTCTTATCACATGCACATAAGATTATAATCCAATGTAAAGCCGATGTTGCATTAGCAAATTTCACACAGCAGGAGACGAGGAAGAAATTTATAATTTGGGTACTAAAGTAGACAAGTATTTCTTGAAAAACAACTACATGGCAATAAATGGCTAGGTTTTGCACTAGCATGGTAAGGCAAAGAAACAAGTTGGACAGAAAATATGAACATGGAAGCACGAGTAAAGCTTAAATTTGAAAATTTTCTAGTTCCCTTGGGCTATGTGTGGATACCTACCTGAAAATTCTAGGAAAGGGGGAAATAAATGTTAAGGGAAGAATGGAAGATACTTTATAAAGATGGGTTTTACCTTGGAAAAAGAAAGATGATTGATGTTCTTAATTTTTTTTACATATGATTAGATTTCTTAGTATTCATGTAATAGACATAGATTTTCAAAAAAATGAATAAATAAAAATAAATATATCGAGTTTCAACCAATATTGTATTTTAATTATTTTCTGGCATTTTAATTCCTTGCGAATTTCTACTGTAATTTCCTCTCTATTTTCTTTTCCTATCATTTCTGTCTTCTAGCCCGACCAGCAACTCTTTACATACTGCGGAGTCATTATAACCGTCATTTGACTTAACATTGCATTAAATACTTCATCCCTTCAATTAGATGCTATTGTCATCTAATGATAGAACACAATTTAAAGTAAATTAATAAATAAATCTTAGTACGGCTAAACTTCCAAATCAAAGAAACTACTAAATTCTTTGAGCACAGCGCGGCTTGCTCAGGAGCTCAGTATAAAACTCGTTACTAAATTCTACAATTTCCAAGGCATTCTATAAATTTTCAAGCAAAACTTAGAAGATCAGGAGCAAGCGAGCAACATACTCAACAACATCACCAAGCTGGCGCAAGATGCCAACAAGTCCGGAGACTGTGACACCATCTAGCACTGCTTTAGGGTCCTCTTTGTCCGCCTCTTTGTACAATTCCGCCGCTCCCAGGGCGTACTCATTTCTTACACCGACTCTCACCAACGGCATCGTTCCCCCACAACGCCAACACACTCGCTGTGTCTCTGAATATCTACGCTTGAATTTACAGTGTAACTAAACATACAGAGAAATGAAAACTGCACTGAAGCAGATTGGCAGACAAGACATAGAAGGAGTTGAGGGAGATTAGTTAAGGATAGCAGCTTAAGTCGAGAGAGAGCATGGATAGACAGGGAGAAATGCTGGTTGAGAACGCTGCTACGAGGCGTTGCCAACTCTTCAAGCCATTCTTCTTCAGGGAAGCTTTCTATGATTACAGATTACAGATGGGAGAGGATCAGAGGCCCAGAGCTATGCGAAAAGACAAAATTATCCTTATCCTCGACTCAATACAAATTATTATGGGTTTAATGTTAAGAAAAATTCTTAGTGCAATTATAATTGAACCAATTACCAAAAAAGTGACCACTTTTAAAAAGGGATAAAAAAAATGATTAAGGAGGATATATGAATTAGAAAACATGATGTCACTGTAAAAAAATTATGTCACTGTGTTTGTTTTTTTTGTAACTAAGAGTCGTCATCGTCAAATTTTTCCACGCCAATTACACCGCCACCGTCAACGCCACAGTGACACCGTCATAGAGACACCGCCACAGTGTCGCCGTATAATTTTAATGTCACTATCAAATGTCATTGTAGCCATTGGCGTTGTCATTGTAGCCACAACATGTGTCACTGTAGCCACCGCGGCGTGTCACTGTAGCCACCCGCTCGTGTCACTACAGCCACCGCGTGTGTCACTGTAGCCACTGCAAGTGTCACTGTAGCCACTGTCGTGTCACTTTAGCCACTACACGTGTCACTTTAACCACCGCTCATGCCACTGTACCCGCCGCCGGCTACCACTACATTACCGGCGACATCTGCATGCCACAATGACACTGTTAGCACCGCTCAATTACCGCTGCCACCCCGCTTCATCCAGTGACCACCGCCTAAACCCAGCGACCACAGCCCTCGGCGACCACCGGCCCCACACCACAGCTTCAATCACTGCCCCACCACCAGTCCTTCCACGGCCCCTATCTCACCCTCAGCCCTACCCCTGCCACTATCCCAGCGCAAATGGGGAGGGGCATGCTACAATCTCAGCGATTGCTTTTAGTGTAGCGGTAAGCGCAACAATCCACAAGTGGTATCAGAGCCAAGGTCACGGGTTCGACCCCCGGCAACAGCATGTTGCGCAATTGAGGCTGGCAAGTGATGGGGGGAGATTGTTGGGCCGCGGGTATGCGGCGCCAGCAATTGTCCAGCCTGTCGGTGCAATCGAACCGCATGGCGCTTCGCATGTGCTATAAATGGGGAGGGGTGTGCTACACTATCAGCGATTGCTTTTAGTGTAGCGGTAAGCGCAACAATCCACAGTTTGTGCGCAGGAGTCCCGTGTGAAGAAGCCGAGCGTAAAATTTTGAGAAGAAGAAGTTGAGCGGACAACGTTTTAGAGAAAAGGAAAGGTCACTTTCCCATTAATTCTTGTGTTATACTCCGTATACATTTGGGCTATTAATCTCTTTGAGTTGTTAGTCTATGCGATTTAAAAAATGTGTCAAACTCATTATGTTATAATTATTTATGACAAAAAGAACTCATTGTGTTGGCATTAACTAGAGTAGATACTCTAATAGGTTTAGAAGGATATACAAAAAAAATTATGACAAAACTCCCTCATAAAAAAATTAATTGTAAAATAAATGAAAATTTATTAGTATTTTTGTATAATTTAGAAAATTGACAAGTTTACTTGCATATTCAATCATAATATTAAGAAAAGTGATTTATAAATGAAAAATGGTCAAATGAGGTTGTCTACTATTATGAAATCGTCACATAAGGTCATGTAATCAATAAAGTGTCATATAAATGCGTCCACTTATAAAAAGCAATTTGATCAGTCCTAGTGACCTGTAGACAACCTCCTAATCCCGATTTTAGCGTCTGTCTGACTATCTTTTTAAAATAAATTATAAGTTGTTGTGATATATTTGGCCATGGTTGGCTTAAATACAAGGCAGAAATAACGACATGTAAACTAAAATCGGGATTAGGAGGTTGTCAACGGGTCATTTTTTACTCATCCGATTGCTTTTTATAAGTAGATGTATTTATATAATACTTTATTGAGTACATGACTTTATGTGACAATTATGTAATAGTAGAAGGTCTTATTTGACACTTTTCCCATTATAAATTGTTAAATTTGTTCTTGGAGAGATTTTTTTCGCATGAATAATTATAACACGGAGAGGTTTGGCACATTTTTTAAATCATGGGAGACTAATGTGCCGAATTTATATATCATTGATGGTACAATGGATTACAATCATGGCACAAATACTGAATTAAAGTAAAAGCCCATCAACGGGATCAACCCTTTAATCGGGATTAATAATAGTTAATAGCCGCTGGGACTACTTAGGAATTAGATCCACAAAAGGAACTCACAACCAGACCGGGCTGGACAGCAGACCTCGCGTCTGGGCGAAGTTCTAGTGAGGTCGGACTCTTCCTAGGGCTTATGTGGCAGCCTATCATTTGAGCATAGCTATCTGGCAGCGGCAGGAATAACGGAAGGAACATGGACCCGAGGGAAACAATCATTGCACAGCGTTCGAAATGTTACTTTCAATTAAAATAATTGCACAAGGTCGGACTCTTCACATGACTATATTTCAATTAATATCATTTAATGTATCGGCTTCCTACTAGAATACTAGTACCTAAGTTCTATAAATACTTCGTGTACTCGATCCGAATTCCGGAATAATAATACTCCCTCCGTACTCTAAAGTTTGCTACACTTTCCCTTTTAGGATGTATGTAAAAGTTTGCTACACTTTCCCTTTTTGGTAAGTTTTTTCCTTTAAAAATACCCAACTACCCTTACTTTTTCTACTTTTTATCTTCTCGTTCCTACTTTTTCACCTTCTCTCCTACTTTTTCTACACTATTCATATATTACCCCTACTATTTCCTCCTTAAATATTGTGCCAAAGCATATTGTAGTGATCTTTACAATACGGAGGGAGTATTGTCTTACGCTGCCTAAATTTCATCTACTCTCGTAGATATAACTCTCGTAGTTGGATTAAACTCCACCATTTGGAGCTCTCGTTGAGAGAACGATTTACAAAGACGATGGTTGGATCACACAGTCACAACCATGTTGGTAGCAATCAAGGTGGTGCTCGATTGGATCAGGTCGTGATTGAAGATGAGGGATCTCGTTCACGGCGGAGCGATTTCCGGAGAAGAAATTACGACAATGTGGTGACTCAAGGCGACTTGAGAAACCTATTAGGACAGATTTTCAAAAACCGACGTTAAAGAGGTGACGTAGTATGTCATTCTTGTTGTAGTGTTGGGAGTTTCAGGCGTCCAGCAACACGTCCACCGCAATTCCAGACGCCGGCCACTGGGAACCTTATTCCCAACGTAGATCTGGCACAAGCTTTGGCAAGTTTGGCAACATTCCAAAGGACTGTGGAAACCTTGACCACCGCCTTCCAAGGTTTCATTCCCAACACCAACAAAAAGACCTCCTTCCCCGTGTCGGGCTCCATCTGTGCCTCAACGGAAGGAGGAAATCTTCGCGCGACGTCAAAGGAATTCACCACCAGCAAGGTCTCAGCGGTCTCATCATTCGAGATAGACCCTGAGGGCTTCAGTGATGGACCGGATGGGGGGTCTCTGTGCATGACAGGCTCTCCTCTAAGGTGGAATGAAGTGATGAAGCATCCTATGCGGTTGTCTCTTCCCATTGTCGCAGCGCGAGTGGGGAAGATCTCAGAGACAAGATCAACGCACACCAGCGAGCCCGCGGAGATCGCCCTTCTTCACCTCATATCCGGATCGGCCAGGATAATGATGACCTCAGGAGAAGACTTGATGAGATCAGGAGGGCGGTGGATGGAAGGGTCAACCTTTACCATGATGTGAGGATTCCTGATCCTTTCATCTACCAGATCATGGATGCCCCGATGACGCAAGGGTATAAGCCTTGCAACATTGAAGCCTACTGAGGGAAGATCGATCCCCAACACCATGTCTCTAGGTATATGGCCTACATGGTGATGATGGGGTACAACGATGCCCTTAGGTGCAGAGGATTCCCAATGACATTGAATGGGATGGCCCGGGAATAGTATGATTCCCTGCTTGACGAGATGATCTAGAATTTCCAGGAATTAACCCAAGTGTAAGGAATAAATGTAATTAGATTTTGATGATGCTATAGGATTAGAAAGTTAGAGTACCCCCAAATTAGATTTTATGTATTAGATTTTTTAATTGTAAGTATTAGTGTAGTCGACGATCAGAGTTGCTCTATTTTGGATCAGATCAGAAGTGCATCAGAACTGCTCGACCAGACTTGCTCTATGAGAACTGCTCCATCAGAGTTCTCTTACCAGAAGTCCATCAGAGGTGCATCATGAGAGTTGCTGATAAGCCTGGACATCTGATAGCCGATGAGAACTACAGATCAGAAGCACTCATCAGCGGACCTATCAGAGTCAGAGTTCAGTCAGAGATCAGAAGACCATCAGAACTCAACTCATCAGATAGCCATCAGAATCCAACATATCAGAAGAACCTGATCAGAGCTCGACGAACACTCAGACGATTTCAAGCAACATCCAACAGCTATGAATTCAACGGGTAAAAACATCCAACGGCTAGAAGACTGTGCATGAAAGGAAAGCATTTAATGCACATTAAATGAGCCTGATACGCTGAAGGATTGATTGCAAATGATTGACCAAAGAATCCGGGAAGATATATTATAAAAATAGAAACCTTCCAAAACGGCGGTCAAGTCAACAGTAGGCGCATTTAATGCAGTTGTCTCCTCCTCCAACGGGCAGACAACCCCAGTATATAAGCTACTCACCGAAGAACTGGAAAACTAACTTTGCCAAGAACTCTTGATCCATTTCCGAACATACTTCTTGAGGTTCAAACTTCATAACACTCTACAAGAAAAGTCAACGTTGGGAAGATTCAATCTCACAATCTCTCATCCCCAACAAGAGCAAAGTTCATCCTGTTCTTCAACTCTTCAAGATCTTCATCAAACATCAGTTGTGACGAAGCAAGTTGGAGGAAAAACTTTGTTTTTCAAAGGATCTTCTGAAAAGAAGGACGTCCAAGTAACTGCAGTAGTGAAGTGGTGATACTTCCGGGAAGCTGAGTGAAAGGACCAGCCATCAGGACGTGGAATTGCATCCTGGGTGGCATCTAGGCTTGAAGAAGACGAGGTGTGCTTCTTAAGTGCTAGGAATTAGCTTTGTAAC